GTTCATTTCTCTTATATGTGCATAAGCTATAATCATCAAATACATTGTTGCTGTCGTTATTTTGAGTATATAACGTTTTGAGATTTTTTTTTCACTCACCACAATCCCCTTGAGATCTGTCCAAGTTATTGGATGTATCAGATAGTTTGTTCTTTTTATTCCGTTATATGGATGTGCCACAGTTGCTTAATCATTCACTTTCTGAGGGAAGTTTTGGATTGTTTCCAGTTTTTGGCTATTATGAATAAAGCTGTCATCAACATTTGTGTATAGTTTTTTGTGTGAATTTAAGATTTTCTTTCTCTAGGATCATAGCCCAGGAGTGCAACTGATGGGGTTGAATAGTATGTTTAACTTTATAAGAAGCTGCTAAGCCGTTTTCCAGACTGGCTGTTCCACTTTGCATTCCCACCAGCAACTTAGGAGAGATGCAGTTTACCCGCTTCCTTGGCAGTATTTGGTACTGTCAGTATTTTAAATTTTAGCAATTCTAATAGATGTGTAATGATATGTCATCGTGGTTTTAGTTTGTATTTCCCTAATGGCTAATAATGATGGACTATCTTTTCGTGTGTTTTTTTCCATTTGCATATCTTCTTTGGTGATGTGTTCAAATCTTTTGCATATTTTCTAATTGAATTGTTTCCTTACTATTGAGTTTAGGAAGTTCTTTGTATATTTTGGATATAAGTCCTTTGTTGGTTAGGTGACTTTAAAATATTTTCTCCAGGGCCCGGCCTGGTGGCGCAGTGGTTAAGTTCTCACGTTCTGCTTCTAGGCGGCCTGGCATTCACCAGTTCAGATCCCGGGTGCAGACATGGCACTGCTTGGCAAAAGCCATGCTGTGGTAGGTGTCTCATGTATAAAGTAAAGGAAGATGGGCATGGATGTTAGCTCAGGGCCGGTCTTCCTCAGCAAAAAGAGGAGGATTGGCAGTAGGTAGCTCAGGGCTAATCTACCTCAAAAAAAATTTTTTTCTCCAAGTCTGTGGCTTGTCTTTTCATCCTCTTAACAGGATCTTTCATAGATCAGAAGTTCTTAATTTTGATGAAGCTTAATTGATCAACTTTTTCTTTTATGGGTTGTGCTTTTTACATAATGTCTAAGCATCTCCTAACTCCAGGTCACAAAGGTTTTCTCCTATGTTCTCTTCTAAAAATTTTATAGTTCACTTTTAGATGTATGATCATTTGAATTAATTTTTGTATACGATATGAGGTTTAGGTCAGAGTGCTTTTTTTTGGCCTACTGATGTGCGGTTGTTCCAGCAGCATTTGTTGAAAAGACTGTCCTTCCTCTGTTGAACTGCTTTTGCATCATTGACAGAAATCAGTTGGCTATACTATTGTGGGTCTGTTTCTGGATTTTCTCTTTTGTTTTATTGATCTCTGTGTCTGTCTGTCACTACTGTGGGTTTGAATTTAATTCCTCTTTTCTGACCAAGCTGTGACTATTGCTTGTTAGTAAACACACACACTGGTGGAAATTTGAAATTTAGATTTGGAGAGATAATAGCTTTAATAATATATAGCATTAAACTATATCAGACAAATAGATTTTCTTTAGTTTGCTAGTTGTGTGCCTCAGTAAAGAACAATTCATATTTTTGTTACTGTTAATTCAGTCATGTTAAAAATTTAAATTTGAGTAGGAAATAGAATGAAGGATATTAAAAAATATTTTTTAAAATTAAAGTAATATATAGACAAAGTTTTAAAAAATCAAATAAGATGATGGTCTTAAAATGAAAAAACTGCACTACTGTCCTCCCCACTCAGAGTCTTTGGCCACACGCAAATCTCTTAGCTGTTGCATCTCGTTATTTACCTCCTTATTTATAACTAATATGCTTTTACTGTTCTTTTCTGAGTTAGTAATTTTAGATGTTTTCTGTTGACTTCCTCCCTATTATGGAAGAATGAAGATTTCACACTCTTAAACCACCACTCTTACTTCTTTTACTAGCATCTTCCCAATGTAGTCACCTCAAAAGTTTTAGTTAAATCTGTATTTAGAATTTGCATTATAATGATTATATAAATATTGATTGCTGTTGATTTGAGTCATATACTATGATTACATGACCTTTCTTGAGCAATTTTTATTTTTCCCAAAGTACATAATCTTTAAAATATCATTTACTTTGTTTTCTATGTAGCCATCATTCATTCCTCCTACAATATTGTAACACTGCACAGAATAAGGTCAAACACATCAGGTGACCTCTCAGCTCTGTGTTTTCTTCCCCTGGGAGCCACGGAGCCATGTTGTCTCTTGTCCCAGCAGCTGCAGAGCTCGTGTCCTGGGACTCCTCTTCACCACTGTTCGGTGTTGAGTCCCCCGTTTCCTGACTCCCACGTCTTCCTATTTCTTGGTTTATTCCCTCATATTGAAACAGTACGTCTTCCAGTAGCTTCCTGAAAATGGGTGCCCGGGGAGTTTTTTGAGTCTTGGCAAGTCTAAAAATGTCTTTATTCTACCTTCATACTTAACTGGTAGGTTGTCTAGCTATAGAATTCTAGTTAAATTATTTCCTTTTAATATCTTAAAGGCGTTGCTACCCTGTCATCCAGCTTCCAGGGTTGCTGCTGAGAGCTTGAGAAACCGTTTTCTTTTTAAAAATTAATATATAAGACAGGAATAGAGGGTAACGTAAGAAAAACTCTTGTACATGTTGTCCATTTTCAGCAAATCTAAACGTGTGCCACATGTGCGTCGTCTCCCCTTCCTTCTATTCCTTTCCCTTTTCTGTTTAAGAAAGTATTAATACTGCTGAAGCCCCTCTGTTCCTCTCCTGATGATATATCATAAAAGCATTCTTCTGAATTTGTCAGTATTTTTCCCAAGTATGTTTTATTTTCTTTTATTTTATTCTGTTTTGAGGAAGATTAGCCCTGAGCTAACATCTGCCACCAATCCTCCTTTTTTTTGCTGAGGAAGACTGGCCTTGAGCTAACATCCATATCCATCTTCCTCTAGTTTATATGTGGGATGCCTGCTACAGCATGGCTTGATGAGCAGTGTGTAGCTTCACACCCGGGATCTGAACCAGTGAACCCTGGGCCCCTGAAGCGAAATGTGCGAACTTAACCGCTGCACCACTGGGCTGGCCCCCTGTGTATGTTTTAATGCTTGTACTGGCTATGAATATATCCATAATATTGTTTTAAAATCATGTAAGTGAAATCATACTGTGTATATTTTTCTGTAACTTTCTTTTATAATATATATATATATTATATTTTCAAGATGTGACCATGTTGGTGTTGTAGCTCTAATTCATTTATTTTCATTGGTGTATTGTATCCCATTGTAAGACCAAATTAAAAAATTTAATTTTATAGGGCTGGCCTGGTGGCACAGCGGTTAAGTGTGCACGTTCTGCTTCAGCCGCCTGGGGTTTGCCAGTTCGGATCCCGGGTGCGGACATGGCACCGCTTTGGCAAGCCATGCTGTGGTAGGTGTCCCACATATAAAGTAGAGGAAGATGGGCATGGATGTTAGCTCAGGGCCAGTCTTCCTCAGCAAAAAGAAGATTGGCAGCAGATGTTAGCTCAAGGCTAATCTTCCTCAAAAAAAAAAATTAATTTTAAATAGCTTAAAATGTATGAAGTAGCTTTGGAAAAAGGTATAACAAGTAAGGAATTTATATCTTTCAGAATATTTCTTTATGGCATATTCTAATTGGGCTTAATAACTCCTATTTTAAGAAATTAAACTGAAATCTAGAGTTATTAGTTGGATTGATTTGGAGGTTTAGTTGGAGTCAGCTGTTATTGGGGTCCCTGTCCTCATGACTAGGAGGAAAGTAGTGGGTCGCGTCAAGTTCAGGGGCGGATGATATGAAGCCAGATCAGTATTTCTGACTCATATTCAGAAGACCCAGCAGTCCATATGCACTGGGGAAGCCTCATGTCCTCAGATAAGCAGCTCAAGCCAGTCCCAAAGTTCCAGAGAGAATGTGGAAGGCATGCTTCCAAATTCTGATCTTGGCTTTGATGCCTTTGTAGAATGAGGAGGCACATGAGTAAAAAAGTAAATTACTAGTAATGTAAATCCTTATCTGACCTGAGCTTCCTTTGGCTGCTGAGCACACAAGGTTTCCTTTCATTGTGGTGGTAATTTTCACATTGTGTAATTTATTACTCCATCTCACCATTTTATTGTTGTCAATGACAGAATTTTTCTGAACAAATTGAGATAAAACATGATCTAGAGGTATGTTAAGCGCGATTCGATGAAGATTGTGACTCATATCTGTAACTAAACTGTTAGTTTTCCCTTTAGTGACCAAAACCAACAAAACCTAAAGATACTAATCACTTATTCACTTAATCATTTCTTCAACCTAGTATTTAGAGAATGCCTATTAAATACTAGTCTAGACATTGGGGATAGAAAGATGCATAAGGATAGTTGTTACTGTCAAAAAATTCATGGTTTAGAAGAGGCATGTCCACAAATAGTGTATGTGCATTACAGCAGAATGAGAGCGACACCAAATGTGACTCCTTTGGAACTGAGAGCTCTTTCACTCTCAGCAGCTAACTCAGTTGGGTCCTCAGTCTGCCTTAAGTGTAGGGAGCACACGGTAATTACTTGAACCACTTTCTCCCCTTCTCAGCACATTCAAGCCAGACTCTCTTTGTTTAGCACCATTGTTTTAGTTGGAAAAGAGCTTCATTTTCAGACTATTAATAAGTTATCATTGATGTATATTTGCTTGGAGACACTTTCTTGAGCAGAGGTATTTTATTGGGCCCATTCTAAGATCTACAGTACAAGTATTGGTTTGGGTTTTTGTGTTTGTGTTGGCTAAGACGGATTTTAACCCTGTTTTTCCCCTTGTAACTTTTGTATGTGATGTTTAAATATATTCAAAAGTAAAGAGAGGTGTGATTCCCTTTAGTCAGTTTACAGTGTATTACATTTAGGTCAAGGGTGGGAAAACTATGATGATTATTTTGAACAAGTTTGAAATTTCTTTTCATTCTTTATAGGTTGTGTTGTGGAAATGAAGGTTTAAGGACAAGCTATTTTCCACATTAGAAGATGGGATCGAACAGCAGCAGAATCGGTGATCTTCCTAAAAATGAGTACTTAAAAAAGTTATCAGGCACAGAATCTGTCTCTGAGAATGACCCGTTCTGGAATCAACTTCTCTCGTTTTCTTTCCCTGCACCAACCAGTAGGTAAGAGATTACTTGGAGCTTGAAAATTCATATAGAGGGCTACATAAATTTGTGTGGAATGCTGATTTTTTTTAAAAAAAATTTTTAGTGTTCTGTCTATGCATCTGTTCATTCCTCCATCTTCTGTCTGTCATACACGTAGAAGGAGAAAATCCAAAAGGTATGAAAAATAGGAAATAACTTTTCTCTTTCCTTTCCCCCCCACTCAGCCACCTCCCTTCCCCAGAAATGTTTTGTGGTAGCAGTTTCTTTTGAATTCTTCTATTGGTAGTACCAGGTTATTTAAGCGTGTATCTCATGTAGTTTTACAAGGTGGTTTAAACACAAATGGTAGCATACTACACACATCTTTTTTCTTTTGCCTGCTGTTTCTTGCGTTGTTTCCACAATTAAGTAAAATGTATCTTGTGTATGTAAGCATGTATGCAACTGCCTTCTTTTAGCTGCAGAGTATCCGTAGAATATATTTAATCAGTTTTCTATTGGTGGACATTTAGACTGTTTCCAGTCTTTTGTTATAACAGATAATGCTGCATATATCATTTCTTGTGCATATAAATAGATCTCTAGTATAAATTCCTCGAAGTAGAGTTGCTGGGTCAAAGAGTCCGTACGTTTATAACTTTGGTGGAGATTGCCAGACTGTGCTTCATGGAAGCTGTACCAATTTACGCTCTTACCAGCAATGTATGAGGTCTATTTCCCATACCTTTGTCAATTTAATGCAATTTTAGACTCCTTGACCTTTGCCAATTTGATAGGTGAAAACGAATGTCTCGTTTTTAACACTCTTGTAAAAACTGACAGACATCTAGTAATATAGAGTGACTAGAATATTGAATTCCTATATCCTCAATATCTAGATTTAAAACATTTTATATTTGTTTCTTAACAGCTTTATTGTGATAGGGAGAATAGTGGCTCCCTAAAGATGTCCAGCTCCTAGTCCCCAGCATCTGTGAATATGTTACATTGTAGCATTTATCAGTACTTCATTCCTTTTTGTTTCTGAGTGATATTCCATTGTATGAATATACCACATTTTGTTTATCTGTTCACCAATTAATAGATACTTGGATTGTTTCCATATTTGCTTTATCTATTTTTTTCTTACTTATTTTAAAGTAAATTAAGATGAGCACATTTTCTTATAATAACTGTAATACCATTGTCACTACTAACAAAATTAATAGTAATTCCTCCTACTTAGTCCACATTTAAATTTCCCCAGTTGTTTTATAGTACATTTGTTACATTTAGGAACCAAATAAGGTGCTGTACACATTGCATTGGGTAGTTGTATTTCTTAAATGTCTTTAATCTAGAATAGAGGTATTCACTCCCCAACCCCTGCAACTATTTTTTCCCCATACCATTAATTATTTTGAGCAGACTGGGTCCGAATGTTCTACCTTCTGGATTTACCTGATTGCTTCTCATCTTGTAACTTGTTCTTTTATTGCCTGTATTTTCTGTAAACTGGAAGTCAGATTTAAAGGCTTGATAAAATTTAGGTTAAACATCTTTGGTAAGGGTATTTCGTAAGTGATGTTATGTACTTCATATTGTGCTACATCAAGATAGAGAAAACGTGGTTTTATACTAGTTATCATGCTAAGATTGATTAGACATTTGAGTGTGTTTTAGTATCCATTGATGATTTTGATCTGAATCACCTATTTCATAAGAGATTGCAAAATGGTGATATTTCTGATTTGATCATTTCTTCTACATTTATTAACTGGAATTCTGTAAAAAGGAACTTTCCTTCATCGATTAGGTTATGTAAAGTAAGTTTTTACTATATTATATTATTAAACAAGGGTAAACATTTAATTCTTTTCCTTTATCAATTTTCAGTAATGAAAATATTGTAATGGTGAGAGATAAGTCTGTACTGCTCCTCTCCCCCATCCCCAGGGTTGGAAGGACTCTGTCTTTTTTTTTTTTTTAAAGATTTTATTTTATTTCCTTTTTCTCCCCAAAGCCCCCCCCAGTACATAGTTGTATATTCTTTGTTGTGGGTCCTTCTAGTTGTGGCATGTGGGATGCTGCCTCAGCATGGTCTGATGAGCAGTGCCATGTCCGCGCCCAGGATTCGAACCAAGGAAACACTGGGCCGCCTGCAGCGGAGCACGCGAACTAAACCACTTGGCCACGGGGCCAGCCCCAGACTCTCTCGGTCTTTAAAAAAAAAAAAAAAAAAGTGTATATGTGTGTGTGTGTGTATTGTGGTCCTTATGGCTTCAATTTGCCTTTCTTTAACGATCAGGGTTATATTTGTTTTTATATGTTTAAAGATTAAGGATTATTGGTATTTCCTTTCTGTGAACTGTCTGTTTATATATTTTGGCAATAAGTTTTAATTTCTAACTTTTGGACGCAAGTGGATTGGGCCTTAAGTTTAATTTAGTTTGCAGTTTATGTGATAGCATGGATTAGTTGTATATTACGTAAAATGGCTACTTATTACTGCTTCTGAGATCCTTGGAAAATTAAAGGTAGCTGTAGACTGGTGGGAGAGGCCACACTGGAGATGAACTATAGCATCAGGAAATTGTAAAGCCATTTCCTTAATCCTTGAGGAATTGTCATTGAGTACCACTGCTCATGTTGTAGTAATAAGACTTAGAGGAAAAAGAACATACAAAGGGAGCATCATTTATTATCCAAAATAAATTTTGACCTATGTAAACTGTAGTATAATCTATATGTGCTCTTTTGAAAGACTTTAAAGAAGACAACTAAATGGAGATATATACCAAGGTTAAGGATTAGAAGATTGTCATAAAGATGTCACTTCTTCCCAAATTGGCCTATAGATTGCAGGCAATTTCAGTTAAAATCTCAACAGCTTTTTTTGAGGGGTGGGGTTGGGGAGTCTTGATAAGCTGATTCTAAAATTTGTATGGGGAACAGCCCCCTAATAATAGCTAAGTTACTTCTAGAGAAGAAGAAGGGGTGTGTGTCCTTGCTCTATGCAGAGCTGGCTCTTCAGAGCACTGGGGAAAGGATGAGCTTCTCAGGAAATGGCGGTGGGGGTAATTTGTTAGCCATTTTTGTTTGTTTCTTAACCTCTAAGTTTGCCATACTTGTGCTGGTGCCTCGCATTTTGAATTATTATGGCTTTATAGTTTGTTTTAGTTACTGCTTTGTCTCAAAGATCCTTTCAGGTCCTCAGGTGTTTATTCTTTTTGATGTCATTGTTTTTTCTTAAATAGAGAAAGGTACAGAGGACTCTTAGGGGTGTAAAATGCTGTGAAGTGAATAAGCTGCAGGGTGGCCTGTGGGGGGAATGTTCACAGAGCTCCGTTTGTGTTGTTGCACATGCTTCTGGCCTCTCTGTCCCTTTGTTTGAGGCCGCCCTGCCCCTCACTGCTGGTGTTTGATATGTGACCTGTAGAACCTTGCCTTTAGCAAGCCTTGAGGTACCAGGTGCCACCTCATTGCCATAGTTAGGGATGGGATTACCTAGTTTTATGAATTATTCAGAACTAAGATCAATCTCTGTAGGGAAATTTCTGAGATTGTTCACTCCTGGAATTCCTTGGATCCATATGTGCCGTCTTCAAGTACAGCACATTTTTGCAGCCAAAAATTGATGTCTGCCAGTTTTGTAGAAACACTAATGCCTTTAGGACTAATCTTTTTTTCTGCTGAGGAATATTAGCCCTGAGCTAACATCTGTGCCAGTCTTTCTCTATTTTATATGTGGGTTGCTACCACAGCATGGCTGATGAGGGGTGTAGATTGACACCTGGGATCCGAACCCATGAACCCGGGCTACTGAAGCAGAGCCCGCCAAACTTAACCACTACACCATGGGGCCAGCCCCTTTTAGGACTAATCTAATCCTTCATTATTATAAACTATTTTTGTCACCAGAGTAATCAGATTTTGTTAGAGTTTCCAAGCATGGTTGCAAAATCTTATTTGGATTCTTCAATAATTTTTAATTTTTTACCTTATTAAAATTATTTTTGAAGCAAAAATCTGAAATGAAATCTAGATTAATTCAGGAGTCAAGTTTAAGTAATATACTATTTATTTTTCTTAATAAAATATTTTAAACTACTTTCATGCCTGATTTTATATGTGTTTCTAAATTAATAAATAGTAATAGCCAAAACAAAAAACCTTTGCATATTATTTTTTGGTTCATAGGGATCTGAGTATCCCCATGTGAGGGTATGGTGCATTGAACACCTTCATAGTAGGTGTCACGTTTGTCATCGAGAGCTGCTGGACCAGATGACCTTTAACTGTTTATGAACTATTATTTATTCATTTGCCTTTTAGGGTATAATGATGAACTAGATAGATAATGTCTTTTGCCCTCAAAGGGCTTATAATCCATCTGTAAACCAATAAGCGAGGATAGTGAAGTGTGGTGAAGGCTGTCGCAGAACAGGCGTGAACACAGCAGGAGCGTCTCATCGCCTGAGTTAGAATGAAACAGGGTGAACCAGAGGTTTCCTGGAAGAAGTGACATACATTTATTCATTTCATTATGTTTTGAAAGGTAATTCATTCCCATGGTTCAAATCTCAGGAGGTACCAAAGGATGTTTAATGGAAGGTCTCCTTCCCGCCCCTATGCCCCAGCCACCCCAGTACTCCTTTCTGGAGGCAACCAAAGGGGATGTGACCTTTAAACTGACTCCTGAGCCAGAGGGTGGGGGCTGGGATTAGGAGAGGCCTGGTCTGGAGGGGAACAGCATAGGGAAAACCCAGGGGTGAGGAAGAACCTGTCAAGGGCAAAGCTGAAGGTTAGTCGTGCAGGAGGAGGTTTGGGAGATTTGATGGTTCCTGTAGAAAATATTAAGGAGTTTTGACTTTGTTCTAGTATCAGTGAAAACCGTTGAAAGATTTCCTCAGAAAGGACGTGATGGGGCTTTCATGTTATTTGACATTCCAGTTGCATCATGTTGTGGTAGTCACTCTGTCCTTCAGCAGAAATTATTGCTTCTTGAGTCTACGGCTTTTGTTTTTTTAAAGAAT